ATTATTACGTTTTGAATATGGATATTTTTCTTACAAAAACGCATCGATTCGCTACAGGAGGCCTTTGTTCACCCCCCGGAGCCGTGTGAGACACTTTTTTATGGATGGGCGCTTTTTATTTCACTTATTTTGGACTGATGCATGCAACACCCGCTGACTGCCTTTAAACAGCTTGAAAGATCAAAGACAATTTTTAATATAACTCCGACTGGATTTGTCTGAAAGAAGAAAGTCATATACTCCTAGGATGCCTTGAGGGTGAGCAATTTATGGGCTAATTTTCATTTTTGGGTGAACTAACCCTTTAAGTCAAACTTTGTGTTGTGAAATGACTGGTAAATTTCCCTCTTCCTGTGAAGTCATTTATTGATGTATCAAAATAGTGTGGTCTATTGATTTGCATTGCATTTTGCACTGAACATATACATTCATTTACTGCAAAGTGCTGCTGTCCAAGTAACCTAACGAATACTAAGACATTCTCAAATTAATTTTTTCACTCCCATTTTTAACTTAAATTTTTATGATGATATAATTTGTAATAAAAAAAAAACAGTTTTGGACCCCACTGTATATTATTTATATGGCCTGCACAGGTAGTTATCAGTCAGAGCTGAGCGTAGGCTGTTTTTCCTCTTGCAGGAAAAGGCTGTTGCACTGTTGGCAGTATATCGGGCTTCTCCTTTAGCAACACACTCTCTGCTGTCTTTCCAAGAGCTGCGTGCTCTCTCCTCACACATCTGTCCGGATGAAAGCTCGCTCTGCCTGGCTCTGCTGCAGCTACAGAGAGAGAAACATGTCACCGTCTCACTCCATGAAGGCGAGAAGGTGTGTTTGTGTACATGAGCGAACCTTGATGTAGCCACAAAGACTTTAGGACAGAAAATTGATGCATTTTGAAAATTCTGTAGGTAATAACACAGGTTATACCATTTTTAGTGAAATCACTACAAATGTTTATTTATTTATTGTTTTTTTACTTTTCTGTGCAGCAAAGATGCATTAAATTTGCATTAAGTATTAATTAAAGGGGTCATATGATGCGATTTCAATTTTTTCCTTTCTCTTTGGAGTGTTACAAGCTCTTGGTGCATAAAGAAGATCTGTAAAGTTGCAAAGACTAAAGTCTCAAACCCAAAGAGATATTCTTTATAAAAGTTAAGACTTGTCCACACCTACCTAAAACGGCTCGTTCTAACACGCCCCCACATGTCTATGTCACGATGTGGGAAGATTTACATAACGCTGCCCAAATTTTGACGCTAAGAAAGAAGGTGTTACTTTGATTCTCACTGTAGTATTGTTGCTGCCGCCATGTTGTGAAGACGCTGTGTGTTTCGTTGTGAAAGCGAAACTACTTTGTTTGGCCTTCCAAAAGTGGACGATATCCGCTTCGTCATGCCTAGAGCTGATCC